ATTCAGCACTCTGTCCCACCTTCTCCTCCACATCCTCTCCCTTCTACCACACTGGACTTTGTCCTTGACAGTGGAGCCACAGAGTCAGTCTTTCGTGATGCTGGTACCCTCCACCCTCTCCCCGCCCCCACCTCCCTCCTTGGTGCCGATTCCAGCTTCTCTATTCCCTGTCGCCACACCTCTACCCACCCTTGTCCCCTCTTCCCCTCAGGTACCGTCACTGGTTTACACATCCCCTCCCTAAGTGCTAACCTCCTCTCCCAGCGTTCCCTGCAGCAGGCCAGTATCACCACCGTCTTCCTAGGTCGCGTTGATCACTGCCTCCTATACCATCCCACAGGTCGCCTCCTCTCCCGTATTCCCTTTTGTCCTCGCTCCCGCCTATATACCCTCCGGGTTCCTCGTCTTCCCTCTGCCCACGCAGTTTCCCGCTCCCTCCCCCCCCCCCCCCTCACATCCCTCCTCCTCCTCTCCCTCCTAACCCAACCATTCCCCCATCCCCCCTGACCCAACCTGCTCCTGTCGATCCCTCTCTCATCCCACCTTCCTCCTCCACCACAAGCTAGGTCACCCCAACTGCCACCCTCCGCTCGACCGTCTCCTCAGGTCTCTTTCGAGGTCTTCCCCTCACCCTCCCTCCGCTCCCTCCCTCCCCTGCCCCTCCTTGCTCCGTCTGTGTCCAGAGCAAGCTCAAGCAGCTACCGCACCGGAGTTCCTCCTCCGCTGCCGCTCAGCCGCTTGACCTTGTTCACATGGACCTCTGGGGCCCCAACCCCTCCCTTTCCCGACAGGGCCATCGCTACATGCTTGTTCTGGTCGATGATCACAGCCGATATTCTTCCGTCTCCCTTCTTCGCTCGAAGGGTGACGCTCCGGCTGCTATCATAGCTTGGCTCAAGCAGGCGAGTGTCCACTTTGGCCGCCCTGTGCGCTGCCTTCACTCTAATGGCGGTGGCGAATTCCTTAACCGCCAGGTAGCTTCCTACTGTGAGCTTCATGGCATTCGCGAGACTCACACCCTCCCCCACTCCCCTCAGCAGAACGGTGTGGCCGAGAGCAATTTTCGGGAGATCACCAAGATTGCTCGGTGTCTCCTCGTCCATGCCTCTTGCCCTCCTTCTCTGTGGGGCTGTGCCCTCCTTCACGCCACCCTCCTTACTAACCTGTACCCCCATCCCATCCTTCCCTCCACCACTCCCACCGAGCTCTGGACGTCTGCCAAGCCTAACGTCTCCTCCCTCTGTGTGTGGGGCTCCAGGGCGTATGTCCTCATTCACCCTGCGGACCGCCCCCGCACAATGGGAAAGCACGCCTCCCGTACCCTCCCCTGCATCTTCCTTGGTCATAACCCCTCCTCCGCGGACTACCTCTTTCTTCACCCCTCCTCAGGTCGCTTCCTCCGCAGTCCGGATGTGGTTTTTGATGAGTCCACACCATACTATTGCACTCCTCCCCCCACTGACCTTCTTGCCCCTGCTCCCAGGCCCCTCACCTGGTCTGACACTATCCCACCCCCTCTTCTCTCCCCCCCCTCCTATCCTCCCCCCGCTCCACCTCCGCCACTCCCCGCTGCCTCAGTCCCCAGCGCTCCCCCCTCCTCTGGTGACATATTTGACCCTGACCCTCTCTTCCCCCCCGCCTTCCCGTCCCACTCCTCTCCTTCCGCCCCCTCCCGTCCCCCCCCTCCCCTCCTCCCCCTCTCCCTCGCGTTCCCCTCCCCCCTTGCGCCCCACCCGCTCCTTGCTCACCCGGTATCCCCACACCAGGTCACGTGACGCAGTCCTACAGTAGGTGCCCCGCCTCCTGTTACCCTCTCTTCCTCTACCTTCCCTCCTCTCTCCCCTCACATGGACCTCCTCTTTCAAGCTGTCTTACAACAAAACACTAGCCCAACCCTGTCGTCGAGCTCCAGCACAGCAGCCCGGCAGCAGCAGCAGACCTACCCACCGCAGCAGCACCAGCAGCAGCAGCCGTCGCTCCTTCCTCACCTTCACCCACAGCAGCAGCAGCGGCAACAGCAGATGCAGTAGTAGCAGCCACCTCAGCAGCAGCAGCGGCAGAAGCATCCTCAGCAGTAGCAGCAGCAGTAGCAGCCCTTCCGCTCATCTTCCACTCCTCCCTCCTCGAGAACTCCCATGAGGAGTTCCTCAATCTCCACCTGCATGATCCGGCCCTCCTACCCATCTCTCCTGACCTCAGCGGCACACCAGTCTTCGCCTACTCCTCTGCTCCCACCATCTTCGTCCCCGCCACGTACGAGGAGGCCATGGCGTGCCCTGGCGCCCACCTCTGGCTCGTGGCCATCCTCAAGGAGTTAGAGGCGTTTATTGCCAACTCCTCATTTGTGGATGTGCCCCGCCCTCCCTCTACCACGAACGTGGTAAAAGGGAAGTGGGTGTTTCCGGTGAAGCAGCTGCCTTGCGAGCCGCTGGTCTACAAGGCCCGCTACGTTGCCAAGGGTAGACATGGGCAGCATGCCGAGCCTGGCTCGACTCGACTCGCCTTTTTGGCGAGTCGAGCCGGGATTTTTTTTTTGCCGGTTCGACCCGAGTCGAGCCGAGACGAGCCGGCCGAGCCGCGCGGCTCGGCTCGACTCGTCGCAAATTTCATGGTGAGCCAAAGTCGAGCCGGCTCGACTTTGGCTCGAATTTGGCTCGACTCCTGAAGTGCACGGCTTGCCAGCGGGGGGTCAAAATTCGACCGCCCTGGAAGACGAAAATCCCTTTGGCGAATCGAGCCGAGCCGAGCCAAGGTCGAGCCGACCCTTGGCTCGACCCTGAACCCCCGAGTCGAGCCAACCATTTTGGGGCAGCCGGCTCAGGTCGAGTCGAGTCGGCTCGACTCGACTTTTGCCTGGCTCGAGGTCGAGTCGAGCCGAGTCGAGGCAGGCTCGGCATGCTGCCCATGTCTAGCCAAGGGCTTCACCCAGCGCTACGCTGTCGACTTCTTCGACACCTTCTCTCCCACCGCCAAGCCCGCTACCATCTGCGCAGTGCTTGACCTTGCCGCTCGCGTCAACATGGAGATTCACTCCATGGACGTCTCCTATGCCTTCCTCCAGAGCGTCTTGCGCGAGCTCATTTACATGGAACATCCTGCAGGCTTCCACCTCCCTTTCCTTCCGACTCTGTCTGGCAGCTGCGTCGGCCGGTCTATGGGCTCAAGCAGGCACCAAGGGAGTGGCATGCCAAGCTTGCTGCCACCCTTGTTGAGCTGGGCTTCAGCACCTCCCGCGCTGACCCTAGCCTCTTCCTCCGCACCTCCCCCTCCCCTTTCTACATCCTCGCTTATCTCGACGATATGATCCGCATCCCTGCCGACTCCGCTGAGCTCGAGCGCGTCAAGCGTGAACTTGGCAGCCGGCTCAAGTGTAAGGATCTGGGGGAGCTGCAGCACTATCTTGGCATGGAGATTACTCGCGATCGTGCAGCTCGCACCATCTCCCTCTCCCAGGGCTCTACCTGCAGCAGGTCCTGGAGCGGTTCGACATGGCTTGGGGCAGCACTCAGGTCACCCCTCTTCCTGTTGGGCACCACCTCACTCCCCTCACCTCCCCCTCCTCCTCCCACCCCTACGCTGAGCTCATCGGCTCTCTCATGTATGCCATGGTCTCCACCAGCCCTGACCTGGCAGACCCCATCAGCGTATTGGCCCCCTTCGTTGGTACCAACAAGCATGATGCCGTCCACTGGCAAGCGGCCAAGCGTGTCCTCCGCTACCTTCGAGGAACCAAGGACTACGTCCTTACCCTTGGCGGCCCCTCCCCTCCCCTCCTCACTGGCTACTCTGATTCCTCCTGGGCTGAGTCTAGGCCTGACCGCCGCTCCTCTCAGGGCTATGGCTTCTCCCTTGGCAGCGGTCTCATCAGCTGGCGCTCCACCCGCTCCTCCTCCATTGCCCTCTCCTCCTGCGAAGCGGAGCTGTATGCCGCTACCATGGCTGCGCAGGAGGCTTGCTGGCTCAGATGCCTTCTTGAGGAGCTCGGTGCCCCTCAGTGCTGTCCCACCATCTGGTGCGACAACGCCAGCACCATCCACGTCACGAAGGATGCTGTGTTCCACAGGCGCTCCAAGCACATTGAGTTTCGTCACATTCGCCAGCTCGCGCAAGGTGGCCACCTCCAGCTGGGCAAGATTGACTCTGCCGCCAATCTTGCCGACATCTTCAACAAAGCCCTCCCCCATGCCGCCCACTCCTCCCTCCTTCGCCTTCTTGGCCTCGCTCCCCCCGTTCCCTCGTCCGCCTCCTGATTCAAGGCATCTAGTCTTATGCATGTTGGGGTTGTGTTGTAAAAAAAAGATATATATATAACATGCGTGCCTAGATTAGGAGGTGGAGTCATCATTTTTATTGGGGGGTTGTTGGTTGGGTTGACCAACCCCACATTTGGGTTGGTCAAGATTGGATTTGGTCCTAGACATTTGGTTGGCACTATTCCAACCGAATGGTCCTAAGAACCTACCAATCACCAAGCACCACACTTTGTGGTTGCTTGCCTTCCAAGCAACCTCTCCCATTTGTCCACATTGTGGCCAATCAGAGAGCACCACACTTTGTGGTTGCTTGCCCTCCAAACAACCTCTCCCATTGGTCCACATTATGGCCAATGGGAGAGCTTCCCTTCCAACTCTTCCTTGCTCCTTGTTTGTACAATAGAGTCTCTTGGCTCTCTACTCTTTTTACTTTTTTTCTCCTCAAAGCTAGTTCATTCAGTGTGTACTAGTAATTTGTTGGTTTTAGGGTTCGGACTATTTGTTAAGTTGGGTGTGACTTTTCCATCCCCAACCTATCCCAACCCAATCCATCTAAAATCCCTACGATTTGGGAGGATTCCCTTGGGATTCCCTTTGATTCTCCCTTATCCCTTCCAATCCAATCCTCTCCAATGCTTGGTACTTAAGCATGTATGCTCTTGCTCATTCAATCAATCAAGTCCTCGTTTTCTGCCACCTTGTGCCCCTCATGCCACCCTTGTCCCCATCATCCCCCCCCCCCAACAGGCCTGCAGCCGTGCATGCGCAGCTTCAATGGGGCGGCGCATGCGTGCATGCGGGCGAAGCGGGTAGAGCGCGCTGTGCGGCTGCTCAGACAGGCGGAGCGGGAGGGCCTCGCCCCCACTGCTGCCACCTTCGCGCTTCTCATTGTGAGATGCAAACAGTTGACTAGACAGGCATTGTTAGCCGGGATGCAGCAGCGGGTCACACGCGTTCCAAGGCCTGACTATTTCCCTGCTGCTCTTTTCTCACATCCTCCCGCCCTTTCGCTTCCACCTTGCGCCTCTCACCCCGTGCAGCAAGCGGCGGGTCACCTGCGCAGGGCGGCGATGGTGGAAGACACTCTTCGCACCATGCAGCACAGGGGTTTCCCATACGATGCAGTGGTCCGTCTCCTCCCTTGCATCGCCCCCTCATTCTCCCCTGCAGACACTCCCTGCACCGTTCTACTTCTCCCCCGTGGCATGTAATTCTCTTCATTGCTGCGGACTTAAATTCCCGTTTGATGCAAATGATTGTCAACACCAACATCCAATCCTGGTCAATCGTCCTCCCATTGTCCTCCCATCATCCTCTTCCTTCCCTCTCCTCCTCGTTTGTCCTTCCCCTGTTCACCTCTTCCCCTGCATTGACCCTTGATGCCTGCCGTGCGCATGCCCCGTCCATCAATCTGCTGTGTCCTCCCTGGTCCTGTCCCTGTCCCGCCCTTCCCTCCTCCCATTGCCCTCCCCCCCCCACCGCCCTCTCAGACGTACCGCTGTGCGGTGTACGCCTTGGTGCGGTGCGGCGAGGGCGGCAGGGCGCTGGAGGCGCTGCAGGAGATGGTGACAGCGGGCCACCCCCCCGCCATGACTGTGCCGGACGTGCTCATCAAGGTGGGATTTAAGCTCGTGCGTGTGCCTCACGTGCACCTTCAACCAGCTTATGCCCCGTGTGCTGAGAAGTAGACATGGGCAAAACGCGATTGCGATTTAAATTGCATCGCGATGTGGGGCGATTTAAATAAAAGCGATGCGATTTAATCGCTACAAGGGGAAAAGAAGAAGAAGAAGAAGAAGAAGAAGAAGAAGAAGAAGAAGAAGAAGAAGAAGAAGAAGAAGAAGAAGAAGAGGAAGAGGAAGGAGGAAGGAGGAAGGAGGAAGGAGGAAGGAGGAAGGAGGAAGGAGGAAGGAGGAAGGAGGAAGGAGGAAGGAGGAAGGAGGAAGGAGGAAGGAGGAAGGAGGAAGGAGGAAGGAGGAAGGGGGAAGGGGGAAGGGGGAAGGGGGAAGGGGGAAGGGGGAAGGGGGAAGGAGGAAGGAGGAAGGAGGAAGGAGGAAGGAGGAAGGAGGAAGGAGGAAGGAGGAAGGAGGAAGGAGGAAGGAGGAAGGAGGAAGGAGGAAGGAGGAAGGAGGAAGGAGGAAGGAGGAAGGAGGAAGGAGGAAGGAGGAAGGAGGAAGGAGGAAGGAGGAAGGAGGAAGGAGGAAGGAGGAAGGAGGAGGAGGCAGGAGGCAGGAGGAGGAGGGAGGAGGGAGGAGGGAGGAGGGAGGAGGGAGGAGGGAGGAGGAGGAGGGAGGAGGGAGGAGGGAGGAGGGAGGAGGGGAGGGAGGGAGGAGGGAGGAGGGAGGAGGGAGGAGGAGGAGGGAGGAGGGAGGAGGGAGGAGGGAGGAGGGAGGAGGGAGGAGGGAGGAGGGAGGAGGGAGGAGGGAGGAGGGAGGAGGGAGGAGGGAGGAGGGAGGGAGGAGGAGGAGGGAGGAGGGAGGAGGGAGGAGGAGAGGAGGGGAGGAGGGAGGAGGGAGGAGGGAGGAGGAGGAGGAGGGAGGAGGGAGGAGGGAGGGAGGAGGGGGAGGAGGGAGGAGGGAGGAGGGAGGAGGGAGGAGGGAGGAGGGAGGAGGGAGGAGGGAGGAGGGAGGAGGGAGGAGGGAGGAGGGAGGAGGGAGGAGGGAGGAGAGGGAGGAGGAGGAGGGAGGAGGGAGGAGGGAGGAGGGAGGAGGGAGGAGGGAGGAGGAGGAGGGAGGAGGGAGGAGGGAGGAGGGAGGAGGGAGGAGGGAGGAGGAGGAGGGAGGAGGGAGGAGGGAGGAGGAGGAGGGAGGAGGGAGGAGGGAGGAGGGAGGAGGGAGGAGGGAGGAGGGAGGAGGGAGGAGGGAGGAGGGAGGAGGGAGGAGGGAGGAGGGAGGAGGGAGGAGGGAGGAGGGAGGAGGGAGGAGGGAGGAGGGAGGAGGGAGGAGGGAGGGAGGAGGAGGGAGAGGGAGGAGGGAGGAGGGAGGAGGGAGGGAGGAGGGAGGAGGAGGGAGGAGGAGGAGGGAGGAGGGAGGAGGGAGGAGGAGGAGGGAGAGGGAGGGGGAGGGGGAGGGGGGGAGGGAGGAGGGAGGGGAGGAGGGAGGAGGAGAGGAGGGAGGGAGGAGGGAGGAGGAGGAGGAGGGAGGAGGGAGGAGGGAGGAGGGGAGGAGGGAGGAGGGAGGAGGGAGGAGGAGGAGGGAGGAGGGAGGAGGAGGGAGGAGGGAGGAGGGAGGAGGGAGGAGGGAGGAGGGAGGAGGGAGGAGGGAGGAGGAGGAGGGAGGAGGGAGGAGGGGAGGAGGGAGGAGGGAGGAGGGAGGAGGAGGGGGGAGGAGGGGAGGAGGGGAGGAGGGAGGAGGGAGGAGGAGGAGGGAGGAGGGGAGGAGGGAGGAGGGGAGGAGGGAGGAGGGGAGGAGGGAGGAGGGAGGAGGGAGGAGGGAGGAGGGAGGAGGGAGGAGGGAGGAGGGAGGAGGGAGGAGGGAGGAGGGAGGAGGGAGGAGGGGAGGAGGGAGGAGGAGGAGGGAGGAGGGAGGAGGGAGGAGGGAGGAGGGAGGAGGAGGAGGAGGAGGGAGGAGGGAGGAGGGAGGAGGGAGGAGGGAGAGGGAGGAGGAGGAGGGAGGAGGAGGGAGGAGGAGGGAGGAGGGAGGAGGGAGGAGGGAGGAGGGAGGAGGGAGGAGGGAGGAGGGAGGAGGGAGGAGGGAGGAGGGAGGAGGGAGGAGGGAGGAGGGAGGAGGGAGGAGGGAGGAGGAGGAGGGAGGAGGGAGGAGGGAGGAGGGAGGAGGGAGGAGGGAGGGAGGAGGGAGGAGGGAGGAGGGAGGAGGGAGGAGGGAGGAGGGAGGAGGGAGGAGGGAGGAGGGAGGAGGGAGGAGGGAGGAGGGAGGAGGGAGGAGGGAGGAGGAGGAGGGAGGAGGAGGAGGGAGGAGGAGGAGGGGAGGAGGGAGGAGGGAGGAGGGAGGAGAGGAGGAGGAGGAGGGAGGAGGGAGGAGGGAGGAGGGGAGGAGGAGGAGGAGGAGGGGAGGAGGGAGGAGGGAGGAGGGAGGAGGGAGGAGGGAGGAGGGAGGAGGGAGGAGGGAGGGAGGAGGAGGAGGAGGGAGGAGGGAGGAGGAGGAGGAGGGAGGAGGAGGGAGGAGGGAGGAGGGAGGAGGGAGGAGGGAGGAGGGAGGAGGGAGGAGGGAGGAGGGAGGAGGGAGGAGGGAGGAGGGGAGGAGGGAGGAGGGAGGAGGGAGGAGGGAGGAGGGAGGAGGGAGGAGGGAGGAGGGAGGAGGGAGGAGGGAGGAGGAGGAGGGAGGGAGGAGGGAGGAGGGAGGAGGGAGGAGGGAGGAGGGAGGAGGGAGGAGGGAGGAGGGAGGAGGGAGGAGGAGGGAGGAGGGAGGAGGGAGGAGGGAGGAGGGAGGAGGGAGGAGGGAGGAGGGAGGAGGGAGGAGGGAGGAGGGAGGAGGGAGGAGGGAGGAGGGAGGAGGGAGGGAGGGAGGAGGGAGGAGGGAGGAGGGAGGAGGGAGGAGGAGGAGGGAGGAGGGAGGAGGGAGGAGGGGAGGAGGGAGGAGGGAGGAGGGAGGAGGGAGGCGGAGGAGGGAGGAGGGAGGAGGGAGGAGGGGAGGAGGGAGGAGGGAGGAGGGAGGAGGGAGGAGGGAGGAGGGAGGAGGGAGGAAGAAGGAAGGAAGAAGGAGGAAGAAGAAGAAGAAGAAGAAGAAAAACGCACATCGCGCTTGGAGTGCGATTTAGATTAATATCGCCCGCGATGATTTTTTAGATCGCGCGCCATGCCAGAATGAAAACCCTCCCCGGAAGTCCAAAAAAACTTTTTTCTTATCGCGTTTACATTGCATTTTTTTGCGTTTACATCGCGCGCGATTAAATGCGAAAAAAAAACCGTGGGATAAACAATAAATCGCATCGCGCGATCTAATAATAATAATAATAATAAAAAATCGCAATTGCAAAAATGCGATCTAATGCGATGCGATGCGATTTATTTTGCTCATGTATGCTGAGAAGGCTACATTCGGTTTTCGATCTTGACTTGGTTGCATCTGATTGCTCCCCTGTATCCAATATGGCTGGTCCCCGGGAGAACATAATGGCACTTCCAACCCTCTTGGGCCTCCCGTCGTCTAGTTATTGCCTACTGCGTACTATGTATGTCAAGTCCCTTGGCTCCTCCATCTACTTTGTTTTCTTTGCTCTCTCTTGGACGTGGGCTCATGGTATGGTTGCTCTTGCTTGCTGGGAAGAGTGCTACCTTACTGCGCTGTGGTGTGTCAATCCTCCCTGCCCCGCATCTGCCGTGTTCATCTACGTATCTGCCGTGTTCATCTACGTATCTGCCGTGTTCATCTACGTATCTGCCGTGTTCATCTACGTATCTGCCGTGTTCATCTACATATCTGCTGTGGTCATCTACGTATCTGCCGTGTTCATCTACGTATCTGCCGTGTTCATCTACGTATCTGCCGTGTTCATCTACGTATCTGCCGTGTTCATCTACATATCTGCCGTGTTCATCTACGTATCTTTGCCACTTGCGCCCACACCCCCCCACCTGGTCTGCCCCCCGTGCACCCATCAGAGTGTGGACGGCGCATTGCTGCTCGAGTGCACGCGGGCTGCCCCGGGTGGCAATCTGCGTCAGTTCCTGCGAGAGATGAGGGGCGCTGGTGAGATGAGGGGCGCTGGTGAGATGAGGGGCGCTGGTGAGATGAGGGGCGCTGGTGAGATGAGGGGCGCTGGTGAGATGAGGGGCGCTGGTGAGATGAGGGGCGCTGGTGAGATGAGGAGCGCTGGTGAGATGAGGAGCGCATGGCACAAGCTTTTTCTTGCTAGATTGTAGGATGACAGACTGGATTGGTAGTTCTACCTGTATGCATGCCACACCTGCCTTCATACCAACATGCCACCATGCCATCATCTCATCACCACTTTGAAAGGTTCATTTTCATCTCATTTCCCCCCGTTTCAACCTTTCTTGTTCTTTACTGCATGCCCATATTTCCCCATGTCTCGCCCTCCCTCCAGGTCTCATGCCCACGGCGTCCACCTCGGCGCACCTCGTTCAGTTGCTCGCATCCTCGCACTCGCCCTCCCATGCCCTAGGTACCACTATCTCTGCCATGCCCTAGGTACCACTCTCTCTGCCATGCCCTAGGTACCACTCTCTCTGCCATGCCCTAGGTACCGGCTGAAAATTGCAATCACCTGGTAGTTACACACTCTATTTACTGACTGCAGTAGGATGGACCTTCAAGAACTCACGCTCCAGCAGCATGCCGCCAATCTGCATGAGTCCAGCACAAAAAGGTGGGTTGCATCAATCGAGCAGAAGGAACCACAGGCTGCCATAATCTGGGTCAGGGACGGCATGACTGTGAGGGTTGTAGCGCTCTGGTTTCGCAGTGTGGGTTATCAATGCGTGTGTCTCTCCTGCCAAGGCATTCTCACCGGAGAAAACACGATTCATGGCAGTGCTGACGTTTTGGTTTTGTTCCATTTAACCGCGTGCTCTTGAATTTTGTACCCTCGCTTTCCCTGTCATCCCTCCCTGCGCCCATGGCTGCATGTTTGCCTCCGATCCACCAGATGCTGCTCACGAGCTCGCTGCAGCTGGCGTGGGCCAGTTAGGAGATGCCACGTGGCATGCCATTGGGCAGGCAGTGTGGCAGGATTCCAACCACAACCCTCAAGAGGTGAGCTGCCATCCGGCTGTGCACCAGTCTGTACATACAATCTCATCTGTATGCACTCATCTGTACCTCAATCTCATGTTCATTTCACTCATTTGTATGCCACTAACCGGCGTCGTGCCATTGCGTCTTCCTCACACCGCGCACTGTCTTCTCCCTCTCTCATGTTCCACCTTGCCTCCCCCCACCTTGCCTCCCCCCACCTTGCCTCCCCCCACCTTGCCTCCCCCCACCTTGCCTCCCCCCACCTTGCCTCCCCCCACCTTGCCTCCCCCCACCTTGCCCTGCTCTCTCCCTGCACTCCACCAGGCGGCCGTGGCAGCGCAGCGGCTGCTGGCAGCAGTGGAGGCGGACGGCTGCACTGTGAGCAGGTGGGCATGCCGCTATGGCCAGAAAGGATTCCATGCAGATGCGCCTTCGTTTTTATGGCGCAGGGGTGGGCATGGCGCAGGGGTGGGCTTGAATAGAAAGGAATCTCTGGGCAGCAGTACCATGTGGTGGATCTCATGGTGTGTAATGGCTGTGTGCAATGAAGTGCGTGTGTGAACTGAACATGCTTGTATCCTGCTGTTCCCTCCATTCCACTGCAGCAGCCATCCCGCCACACTTTCTTACTGTTCCCTCTCCTGCACCTGCACGCCTGTGTGCCCCCAGGGAGCTGCACGAGGTGGCCATCGCGGTGCACGTGCGTAGTGGCGACGGCGCGGCAGCCATGCGCCTGCACCGACTCATGGAGGCCGCCCATGCCGCCCTGCCTGCCGCCCATGGCGTGGCGCTTGCCGTCGAGGCCAGTAGCCCCCCCCTTGCTCATGCCTCTCATGCATCTCCAAGTGCACCTTTGGGAGGCACACTTGCGCTGTTGCCCGCCTGCCAGGGAGGTGCTTCCGTGCGAGGAGATGGCGGTGCGGCCGAGGGAGGGAGAGGGAGGGAGTTTGTGAGGGGAGGTGATGGGGCGGTTCTGAACGGGAGTGGATGTGAGGCGTGGTTACAGGTGGAGGGAGGTGGAGGGAGGCATGATGGTGGGGACGGGGCGAGGGCACGCGGAATGGGAGAGGAGGATGGGAGGGAGGTTGCTGAAGACGGAGTAGTGCGGGCTCATGGTGGTCTGCCGCTGGTCCCTGCATCTGCCACTGCCACCACCCCCCCCGAGGAACCTAAGGAGCTCAGCAGGCACAGTCACAAGAGGGGTGGCAGACGAGAACACACTGATGCCAGGAGTATTGCTGTGCGGGGCAGTGATGGGAACAGTGAAGGGGGCGGCAGCAGCGGCGTGGTGGACTGTTCAGCTGATCGCATGTTTCTTGAAGCCATTGATGCGGCTCTCACCCACGCCCTTGCTCAGGTGTGCCCTCCTCCGTTGTGGGTGTATCCATTGATCCCATTGGACTGTTTCTTTCGCTTCTCACTTCAACACCGTAGCGGTTCGTTTCGTGTGTTCGTTTCTCTCCCAGCCACGTGTGACATGTTATCATTCGACACCCCCAAATGAGAACTCTCATCCTCGCCACTCCCCAGTGCTTGCCATTGCCTTGGAGCCTAAGTGCGCCATGCCTGGTTGCTTCTGCCGCACAGGACATCTCGCGTGCCCCCCCTGCAGCTGCCCCACCACACTACAGCAGCAGCAGCACGGGCAGTGGGCTAGGGAATGTGAGCCGAAGGGAAGGCGGCGCTGGCAGTGGGGGGGGGAAGCATGGGGGCAGCAGGGAGGGATGGACAGGGAACGGGGCTAACTTTAATGGGGCTGGCAGAATGGGCAGGGGGGGGAAGGGTACAGCTTTTTTGGATGAGGAGACAGCAGCTGGGAAGGGGAAGATTGAAGTAGATGCAAGTGGCGTTTCTGGATTAGTTGCCGACTTTGCTGCTTCGGGCATTCGAGTCAAGCCACGGTGAGGAAGAGGCAAGGTAGCGATGGTGGTTCCTAGTTTTGAAACTAAAGCCCTTGGTGTTGAACTTGTGACATGAAGTCGCCCCGCACTTGTGCTTTTGCAACAGCAGAGTGCGACCCAGTTTGTGCTGCGGCTCCACCCTCTTCTATATCTGCATTTCGCCCCTGTGGGCTGTGTTTCACCAGAGCTGTCCAGAGTGCCATCCGCCACTTGATGCAGCACGAGGATGACCAGGGAGCAGGGGATCCAATGGTGGCTGCCACCCCTGCACGTCCCTCAGAGGCCCTTTCACTGGAACCCACTGCCATTCCCATCCGCCGTCCAGCAGCAGCAGTGGCAGGAAAAGAAAGCATGGTGGTGAGGGGAGAAAGCAGTGGGGATGACGCAGAGTGGATGGGCAGCAGTGGCAGTAGGGCCAGCAGTGGGAGCAGTGACAATAGTGGCAGTAGTGGAGGCGTTGGCAGTGGCGGTGGCGCTGGTGGAGGTGAGGAGGGAGTGCCGTGGCTTGACCGAGCCATCAGCCTGGTTGATGCTCTTCCACGACTGGTGGGTCGTGTTTTCTTCCCCTCCTGCCCTCCGCCCATCCCTTCCCGCCCCCTCCCCGCCTATCCCTTCTCCTCTGCCGCCGTCGTCTCTATCCCTGCCCTCCCTTTGCTTCCTATAGTAACCCCCTTCTTTCCTTCTTCCTACCTTCCTGGTGGCCCGTCCGTTCTACCCCACATCTACCTTTGTATTTCGCAGTTCTCCCAGCAGCCAACGGCCTACGTCTACGCAGAGCTACTAAGTGCGTGTGTGCGCAAGCGCCAGTGGCGGCAGGGGGAGCAGCTGTGGCAGCAGATGGGGGCGGCGGGGGTGCAGGCGGACGTGGCGTGCTGGCAGGCACGGCTGCGCTGCCTGGGGGCGCTCAGCCGTGTGGGGGGCAACACACACTCGCTGCTGGCAGAGGCCGCTGCTGCTGGCACCGGAATGGAGCGACACCCAGAGCTGCTGCGGTGCGTGCCTAATATGCTGTTTGCTCTCAAGTGCTGATGTAGTCTTGCTCTTCCCGCTCTAACCATTATCCAATGACCCCACTCCGCGTGTCCCACCAGCGTGCTGCTGAGAGAGTGCCAACGGGCCAATGATGGCGATGGGGCAGCCTTTGTTCGCAACATGCTCGCCATGTCTCAGCGCAACTCATAGTTCGTCTTTGCCACATTGAGTATGGGCCATACTAGTGAATCTTGGGGGTGGGTCTTTTAAGGAAACCTGTAAATAAATTACCCGGGTCATGTCTCGTACACATGCAGAGTCTTTATTTCAGCGTGTAGTTGTGTTCTTCGTTTACATCAAAGTCTCATTGTCGAGTATTCAGACCCCCACAGTTTACCCTGCACAAAATGCAAGTTATCACTATCAGAAAGAAAAATGACGAGTGGGGAGATACAAGCAGGGCTCTCGCTAGGCTCTAGGCACTTTCTAGGTCATCAGACCGGGCCCTCCGGGCCCGTCTGATGATCAGACGACCAAATTTCCAGTTTCTAAAATATCAGAGGAATCGTAGTGCAATTTCTATTTTTTCAGAAGTTCCTATTTTCAGTTTCTAAGCTAACCTACACGGACCAATTTGAGCCTCCACGCCCCAATAGTTGAGTACGCTTCCCAGTGCCCGAGGTCCTTGGGCAGCTTGGGCGTGCGCGAAAAAAAGGTTTGGGGGGTTCAATGTCGCGAGTGGTTTTGATTGGTGGGATGACTTCCAAAGCGATGAATCAGACATGCGGGCACGGGAAAGGGGGAGGGCCCTAGCGAGAACCCTGTCTGGGTGGGGGAGAGGTGAAGGGGAGATTGAAATTGAAGGGGGCGGGCAGGAGCAACGCCCTCGCAAGTTGCGTTCACACACATTGGTTGGCGGGCGAGGGCCAACCAGAGCAGTCAACTCACACGAATTCCTTCCCCCACACGAATTCCAGCATACGTACGTCACACGCTGATCTGGCTAAGGTTCAACGAGCGCCCTCACACAACTTGCAGCACGCATCGGGCTGTGAGCAGGGCTCTTGCTAGGATTTTGGGACGTCTGAAAATCAGACGGCCAGAGACATGCTCGTCTGATGACCAGATGGAATTTTTTTGGTTATCTGTATTTTCAGACAGAATGTAGACGATGGTCTGATTTTGCAGATGAAACGCTCAGCTTGGTCTGAATTGAAGGCCATAGCTCAAGCAATTACAATTAAAGCAGTTAGCAATCTACTGCTGCTAGAACAAATCAGATAGAATAATATTAATGTGCTAGTGCTCCCTAAGGACACGCCACTAAGGCTAAAAAGGCTGGTGCTGCCATAGGACCAGCTACTGTTGATGCTTCTGGAGCTATGGTTACTGCATTTACTTCTCTGCTAGCGCCGCTACAAATACTGCTCTGCTACTGCCGCCACCTGCAGCAGGACTGTTGCTGCTGGTACTGCTGCTGCCAATGAAGCTGCTGGTACTGCTGCTGCCAATGTAGCTGCTGGTACTTCTGCAGATGCTGCTGCTGCTGCTTCCACGTCTGCTCCTCTGCACTACTCAGAAGAGTCATATTCAGATTCGGATTCAAAGGCAAAAGTGTTATCGTCCTCCTCACTCTCCTCTTCTTCGACTTCCGGGATCTTGCTTTTCCCCTTCCTCCTCCAATACGCCATGCCAGGTTCCTCATCCGCTCTTGCAGCTTCACCTTCCGAAACTGCTGCTTCATGGCGTGCTACTGCTTCTGCTGCTGCTACTGCTGCCTTTGCCGCCCTGACTGCTTCTGACCTTGGTCGCTTATTGGCGGACGGGACTGCAGCCATCACTACCGCCCTCGCAGGGCGCCGCTTCTTCGCCTTGCGCCACCTCCCCACGAGCTCATCCCAGTGCATCTCGTAATCCAGGAGGGATATTGTCATCAGATCTGCCAGCTTTGCATCGCAGAGATTCCCCCGGAGCCAGGACTTGATCACATTCTGCCTGCTGAAGCCCCTCTCGCACTCCACGGTGCTGAGAGGGAGCACAGCAACAGCAATCCAGAGCAGAACCAGGTTGGGGTAGGTAGTTTGCCAGTCCGGCGAGCCCAACATATTCTTCAGGCCGTCAAGGAAGCCCGTGTCAGCCTGATGCGTGCGCATGATCGTGCTGAAGTTGCATAACTCCTTCTCCGCCTTCGCCCAGTTTATTCCTGATGGGGGTTGCAGTGACGGCAGGCAAATGAAACGGTTATAATGGGACAAAGGCAACGAGTTCAACATTTGGTACAGCGAGTACGGTGCGGTTTGAAATACAAGGGCAAGTAGAGCTAGCGGTGGGGAAAACAAAACCTGGCAGAGTGTCCGGTGCTGTCGCGTCACGCTTGTAGAGCAGGCGCAGGGAGTGCAACCACTGCAGCAGGCGCCGCTCCCGCTTTGCCGCGCTCTTCGGGTACGACCTCTGCCTGAAGAGTTTAGATCCGTCTAAGGTCGCAAGATCCTCCAGCCACCCCTTGATGTTGTTGATGAGAGCAGTCGCGAAGGCGGTGCAGAGCTTCTTAAGGGACTCCATGTCCCCACCGCTGACTTGGCCGGGAATGTACTTCTCGTGCAAGACGTAGGAGTGCGTGGTGGGTGTGCCTTCAGCATTGACACCCTCCACGTGAACCCACCGAGACTTGGGATCGGTAAACTTCGCGATGAAGGCGACAAGGTTGTTGTTGCCGTGGCCGAAGGTGTCGCCGAAGTTGACATAGCGGCTCCGCAGGGTGAGAATGGTATTATCGACCATCTGCAGCACATGCGTGACATCCACCTGCAACATTCGGGGATGACCGGTAAACAGGAAAGCAAGTTAGAAATGAAAATAGGTAGCAAAGCTAGGTAGTCACTTTTACCTGTCGACGTTGGAACTTCAGGTTGAGGGTATTAAGCTCCTTCAGCACATCAGCAAGGAAACACAGTAAGAACTGGAATTTCAGACTTGTCACCATGTGGTAAGCCTTACGATCGTACTCAGAGAGCAGGATGATGGCAGAAGGAAAAACCTCTGCTAACCTCGCAATCGCCTCACCTCTCGACAACCACCTGATATTATGTATGCCCTGCAATTCAAGGTTGGTGTCGCTGCCGACATCTTGCAGCTGCTTGAAGCGAGTGTGCACCACAATCGAGCGGCCTAGAACTTCAGCAAGCGAGTGCACTACTTTGTCGACAATGACAAGATCGGGGAAAGCTGTTGCAGTGTCCTTTGCGGCAAGTGCCTCCCTGCAGCAATAAGAGGAGGTATTAGTAAAGGGGTTTTGTAATCAATGTCCATGACAAGGACTTGACACAACACTCACCTGTGGGCGATGCAGTGGCATGACACAAGGTGAGGTATGCGTGCCCGCAGACGTGCAACCACACCCGTCTGCCCACCGGTCATCACGCTAGCACCGTCAGTGCTTATCCCGCAGATTCGTTGCAGGTCGATGCTGGTGGCTTCAAGATGCGTGGGTAGGATGGCCTGTAGGGAAGCGGCATCGCACTTCTCCACAGTGAGGTGGGCATAGAATTCCGTCACCACTTCGTCGTCCCGCAGAAACGTGAGATACACAATCATGTGCTTCGCGCGCCTTCGATCGGTGCTCTCATCGAGTTGAATGCCGAGGAAGGGACTTGCTCGAATGTGTTTGAGCTGCTTCGCCTTCAAGTACCCAACCATGGTCTCAACCATCTGTTGGAATCCGTACCTGCCAAAAGCTAACAGCATAGCATTAGAGAGTGCACAAACCAAACATGGGCAACAAATATTGTGCATAAACAAAGCAAAAAAGCGGGGTTCAAGGCTTAAAAAAGAAACTCACTCTGAGTAGTAGGTGCCGTTCTCCTTCAAGGGCATGTCTGGCGTCCCCTGCTGGGCCATGAACTGTACAAGTGAGACAAAAAGAATGATAGGTGCGTCAGACTTGCAGATGAAGTGTACAATAGCCATCAAACGCTTCAGCCGCCGTGCGTCATCATCCCCATTCTCGAACTCAGTGATGGACTTCTGCTTCTTGATTTTGCCATCCCGATGCGCCTTTGCTGCCATTGCCGCTTCGTGCTTGCCGCTGTGGTCATGCTTCCTCATTGTTTGTTTCTGGATGTCGATACCACCCTCACCGTAACGGCCGTACAGGTAGTTCGGGTCTCCATAAGCCATGCAAACACTGCATTTCATGCACGGGCGACCTTCTGACGTCTCGGAAATGAAGAGCCAGGGGAAGTGCCGCTGCCATTGTTCCTTGCACTTCAGCTGCAATTCTTCTAGCGTCAAAGGCCATGGTCCTTCGTCGACAGCAGGCGTGGTTGGACCATGGTTGGAGGGGCCAGCGGCAGCTCCAGGCGTGCTCGGACCAGGGTCGGAGGGGCCGGTGGCAGCTTCAGGTGTGCTCGGCCCTGGGTCACAGGAGATAGCAGCAGAAGCCACTGGTGAGCGGGGACGACCGAATGAAAGCTTCCGTCGCTTATACTTCGTGTTGCCTGGATAGCGAATGGACAGAACAGGACCGCCAGAGATCTGAATCGTGGCGGACGCAGTGCCAACCACAGTTGGACGGGATTGCGCACGTGGCGGCGATGCCGCTGGGGAAGCAATCGGTGACAGGCTCGCAGCCCATGGCTCGATTTCTACTGCAGGCATCAGACTGTCGAACGGATTGCTGTTAGGCTCAGGTACGTCCGGTACAGGGGCAGCAGGCAGGGGGGAAATGGGGACTGCTGCGGGTGGCTGGGTGGGGCGACATCCTAAGAAATCCAAGCCCCTGAGCTTCACGGAAGCTGTAGTGGGGGGTGAGGGCACAGCAGTCTTCTCGGTCGGGGCACTAGAGCCCGCAGTATCTGATGCCATGATGGCAACTAGCGGGGGCAGTAACAACAGTCGAAGAGGTGGAAACTAGGAGGAGCTCAGAGGGGAGCTCATAGTGAAGGCTGATGCAAGCACGGGGGACGATGAATGGAGGCAAAAATGACCTAGACTAAGCGAAACTCCAGGCTCTTGATGAGCAAGTGACGCGTCGCACAGTAAGAGAGAGGAACGATGCATGGTTGGGGAGCCGTCCATCGTTGCGCGTCGCCAGCCAATGAACTCTTTCCTGCTGGGCACATAATGTGCTGGCAGGATTTTGGTTCGTAATGTGGGCGTGCTGGCAGTCAGTTGCACCGACAGCACGCTAAGGGACAGCAGTCCCACTGCTTGCTGCATGCCACTGTTTCCACGGTAGCTGTGAAGTGCACCGACAGACAGCTATGAGACAGAAGCGTGGCAGCTTCTGACTCAGAAAATGCACTGTGGGGGGATGATGCACGCCAGCGGGGCTGGTGTACCACGCGGTGCAATGATCACGCAGATTTGAAATTGGTGCCGAA